GCGACGAGTGTCTCGGCGCGGGAAAGGTCGCGAAAGCTGGCACTTGAGACTGAAATCCCGCTTAATGCTCGGTTGCTCAAATAGCTCCACATGTGAGATGAAAAGCCTGATTTGCACACCACCTAAGATAGAAGATCAACACCCGAAAAAACGAGCAAAAAGAGAAGAAAATATCGAAAACGATAAACGAACGACTAACAAGCGAAAAGAACGACAGAAGGACCAAACTGACTAATAAAAACCTAAACTCGGGGGAAAAATACTAACAAATAAACAAAGAAAAAGATAACAAAAATGGGACAAACAATATTGTGAGTCAGTTTATGGCTGCTCCGAGAACCACGCATCATTCTGCTGTGTTGCACATCCTTCGCTATGTGAAGGGCACCTTATTGCATGGTTTACATTTCTCGGCCAGTTCTTCCTTGTCCCTTAGCGGCTACTCTGATGCAGATTGGGCTGGAGATCCTACCGATCGTCGCTCCACTACCGGGTATTGCTTCTTCTTAGGTGATTCACTTGTCTCTTGGCGCAGTAAGAAGCAAACCTTGGTTTCCCGTTCGAGTGGCGAGTCTGAGTATCGTGCTCTTGCTGATTCCACCGCAGAGCTATTATGGTTGCGTCGATTACTTGCTGATCTTGGTGTCCCTCAGTCATCCTCTACTGCTCTTCATTGTGATAGCCAGAGCGCTGTCAAGATGTCTCATAATGATACGTTTCATGAGCGTACCAAACATATTGAGATTGATTGTCATTTTATTCGCCAGCATGTTACCCATGGGACTGTACGACTTGTTTCTGTCTCCTCTTCGGATCAGATAGCGGATGTCTTCACGAAGTCTCTCCTTCCCGGTCGCTTTTGTTTACTTCTTAGCAAACTCAAGTTGATATCTACTATACCACCTTGAGTTTGAGTGGGGTGTTAGAATATATTTTGTATATATGGTTATAATATATTTTGTATATATATTGTAGGATTAGATTTAGGCTCATTATGTTCCTATATATATGTGTACATGTTTTTTGAATAATATAGAATATATTTTTCCCAAATTCTAACAGTGGTGTTTGGATGAGTAACTGTGCGGTTTGGTGTAACCGCCATAAAAAGAAAAGAAAAAACGAACCTGCAATTAAAAAAACGAACCGCATTATAGCTTATTAAAAAATAAAACCGTTTCCAACCTAAAAGATGTTTACATTTAAATAACGGGACCCAAACGCATAGTTTGACTCGATAATCAATATTGCCTCAATTTTTCTATATATTTATATTTAATTTGGTGCGGTTCTATTCAAAACTACACATAATCAAATAAAATTAATACTAAATTTATAGAAAAAGAAAATAAAATCGAACAACACCACAATATAGAAGAACATCGAACCAAAACCAAATCGAAAAAATTTTACATTTGCAAAAATTTAACTGAATCGCAAATTGCACGACTCACCTCTATTTTCCAATTGATAACTTTCAACTAACTTTATTTTGTACTACTACCTCTTATTTTTAATATATGTCGTTTTGAAAAGTTGTACACTAATTAAGAATATTTTTTTTCAATAATAACCTTATTTAATGAAGATAAAGATGAATGTTTTGAGAAAAAGTGAAGAGTGAATATGAAAAGATGTAATGTATTTATTGGCTAAATGAAGGTAATAATGAAAAAATATGTACAAAAGATCCAAAACGACATTTATTTAGCAAATAGTTGTGATATAGGATATCATACCCACAAAGCTAAACCGGTCCGTTGACCGGTTGAGGAGGTCGTATCACGAGGAAGCCAAAGAAATCGAGTAGTCAATTAGTTGACCGAGCAAGGCTGTCGACCAAACTATCCTTCGACCAGATACGCGATCGAACAACCTCTTCGACACCGACAGGTCGATCACTTCGAGGACTTAACACCACGCTGACTTAACACCACGCTGTTCGGCCCAGTCATAGGCGCGTGAAGGGAGCCTCTGACAGAATTCCAGGAGAATATTTACCCCATGTGAGGGGGACACGTGTCGAAAAGGCAGT